AAAGATTCTGTTCAATGGAGTTATATGTTAATATAAGAAGAGAAGTTCACGATTGAATTAATTTAAAAAAATGCTTCGTATTTTCCACTGCAGATGTACTTCTTTGAGGGCCATTTACGAAGGGGCTTTACCATGGATGAAGAGGTTAGTCGTCGCCTTTTCACAGCGAAGTCCTGTGTTCGCGCCCAGGGTGAGTCAATGTGAAATTTGTGGCGGAAAGGTGACACTGAGGCAGGTTTAAAATCTTATGTTTTGTCATTACATTTGAATTCTTGTGAAGTACATTCACTTTACTCGAGGCCCAAAAGATAATGTTTGGTCGTACATTCTGATTTCTGTAACATCTTTTCGTTTATCCACAAATATGCATCTTTTGCTATGTGATTATCGCCATGTAATTCACTTCTATTCAAGTTAATCTGGCGCCATCGAAAGCTTTAACAAACCTTCGACTTATTGCCACGTGCCTAGAGTTTGCTCGATTCCCAGTGCGTTGCATCCGCAGACTGAGACATCGACTTTGTGTGTACAGGAAGGGCGCATTCTAATGCCGCCCCAGTCCTTAATTTATCCACCCTTCTGGTTGATTGAAGAAAGAACTCATAGATTGTAATTAGTATTAATTGTAAAATTTTAGATTCTTTAATTATTCTTTAATTTTATTTGTGCTATCCTGCGGGGAACGCTTGGATTTATAAATACAATTAAAACATAATTAAGAACCAAGGATTTTCCTGTAGCCCCAGTGAAATCCTACACACTTTAATTAACAACCAGCGGTCTGAACTTCATTGGAGCGTCAGGTTCATCCAGGAACATGGGTTTTCTCTACCCGATTTGCTCGATTTGCATTAAATGATTTTGTTCCTTTCTGTCCACATGCAAGAATGTCATAAAATAGATTACGACATTTTACTTTTACACTTATTAACATTTAAACGTCTCTGAAGTTGCTCCATCACCTTTATGTGGCCAACTGTTGACTCGTGTGTGTTTGTACGGTTCCCCAGAAAGCTTGTCCACAGAAATAGCTTCCAGGTTTTTGTAGGGTTTCCTCTCAGGAACTCGAAATAAATTCTTAGACTGTGACGTGTTATACCACGACGAAGTTCTTGTGCCGCTGTGACATACAACTTAAAAAAAGTTCTGTGCAACGGTGAAGACCGGTATAAAGTTTTCAATTCGTTACCCCCGTGAGTGTTAATAGTATTCTTTCGGACTGACAGTTGTAGGAACGAGAATTTGTGAGAAAATTCACTCGAAAGTATCAGCTGAAATGTGTGGAATTAATCTGTGTATTTGTAAATTATTTAGATTGTGTTTTGAATAATATACATTGTGATATACAGAAGTGGTGTTAGGCCTACGTGATCTGTGTATTTGTAAATTATTTAGATTTTGTTTTGAATAATATACATTCTGATATACAGAAGTGGTGTTAGGCCTATCTCAATTAAATTTTGGGCTGATCATTTCAAGCAATATGTAGGGATATATAGATAATTTTTAAGAATTCCTG